GGAGGTCAAACCGGATAATAGAAACTAGGCATTAATTTTAAACACAACGAGATTGCTTTAGGATTAATTAGAACTTGTTCAGTTTTCAAAACGCGTTCCTCGATTAGAATGGGCAAGTGAGAGAAAAATCACATGGTCAAGGAACATGACTTTATTCAAAACCACGAGAGTGTGAGTTATTGTCTTTAAATTGATATTTTCTACTAAACACTTTTCTAACATCAGTGTAAGACAACAAGTTACAAAGTCCATGAGATACACATAATTCATATTCCGGCCTCTTTTTATTATATATTTCTTTAATATTATTTTAGTATTTATTTTAGTCTTAATTTCTCCTTAATCAATCATTTATTAGGCTTAGTTTTACAAAGCGACGATAGATTACAGTAGGTTGATATAGGTCTCTGTGGATTTGACAATCTTTTATATTACTTCGATATTTTCGTGCACTTGCAGACGCATCAATGGTCACATAAAGTCTTTTTGTTGCAGACTGTATAAGGTTCAAAAAAACCCCATTCTATTATGGGGCTAATCCTTTAAGTAAAAAGAGAAGGTCTAAAGATATGGATATTAATCTTATAGCCCATACTTCTTTAAGCGCTTCATCAGAGAAGATTGATACTCTGGTAGTGGATGTTTTAGACATATGACAGAGGTTCAGAAGTTTCTGGTGGATATCATATCTCATTCCAAAGGTTGTGTCATATTTGGTGATGGATCCAAAGGAGAAATTAAAGGAGTTGAAAATTAGTATGTACTGGCTTTCCTAATCTATAAAATGTTCTTCTTGTGAAAGGACTAACTACTAATCTTATCAGCATTAGTCAGTTGTGTGATCAATGTTTTATTGTAAAATTTACACTAATGTTTGGTCACAAATAAGGAAAATGTTGTCCTGATGAAGGGGATCATGTATCAAGACAATTTTTATTTGTGGGTACCTCAAGGAACTACCTATTCTTCCACATTTTTAATAACTAAGAAGGATGAGGTGGAGCCATAGCACAAGAAGCTTGGACACCTACATCTCAAAGGTATGAAGAAAAACATATTTGGACACCTACATGTTTTTCTTTGCTAGTTTATGATGTTTGGTTTGGTTGCTTGTGAAGTCATATATGATATTCTGGCATCTTGATTGTGTGATTCATGAGAAGATATTTCTTTGAAGCTGGGTGTTATTTATTTCTGTTGTATGCCTATGACATGAACTGGTGTTAATGGTGTTTTTTATTGCTTGGATATGTGGGTATGTTCTCTTCTTATTCTATGGATATGTTATTGTTTGATCCTGATTTATTTGGAGTTGTTTTGAAGGATGTTCCCTTGAGGGGGAGTTTTGATTCCACGTGACAGAGGGAGTGTAGTGACAGGGGGAATGGTGTTGGTGTAATGAGAGTTTAATTATCTCTTATATGTTATTGCGATGTTGTTTTGTGATATCATACATAATGTCATGACGTATGATCTCTACTGGAATTTTGTGTGTGAGGTTGTGTCTCTCTTTTAGTTGTGTTTGCTTCGTGTGACTCTGATTGTTTATTGTTTACTATTTTTTCCAAGTATGCATGGTGTTCATGTATCTTGTGTTTTGTGGTTGTTTTGCCGTTGTTTTTTATTTCCAGCTATATCATACAGAGGTTGTTTTTTGCCAAAATTTGTCAAAGGGGGAAATTGTTAAGTCTGCGGTTTCATGATTGGAAGTAATTTTTCTAAAACATGTATCTCAACAAGATGCTGTGACAAATGTCTTGACATACTCGACATAAATCACTGAAGACAGATGTTGAGCACGATGTCCTAATATGTTATACTAGAACATCACTGCAACTTAGGTTTTACTTCTTGGAAGGATTTAGGGTTTTTATTTTGTTCATTGTTCATTGTGATTCACTCTCTTATCACTTTGATATTATAGTTGGACTGAGTTTAAGTTATTATTTGTCAATCACTCATAAACTTTTAAGCAATAGTGGATTGTATGTCAAGGTATCTTTATTCATCAGCCATAATTTTTAAGCAGAGATGATTGTTTCTCTTTGAAGAATGTTCTTCTACTTTAGTTATCATTGTTAGTTTGTCACTGGTTTATGACTGAAGGGAAGTGAGATGGATCTTATATCTAAGAGAGTCTTAGATAGAAATAGCATGAGTAGTGATTAGGTGAGAAGTTTGTAAAACAAGAGTTGTTTAGAACTTCAGACTAATTATTTTAATGGATTTTCTTCCTGGCTTGGATGCCCTCATAGTAGGTGACGTTGCACCGAACTGGATTAATAATTGGTTTGTGTTCTTTACTTTCTGCAACTTATTTTACTTGTATAATTGTTCTAGTTGCTATGATTGATCTGATATTAGCTAGTATCGTAACATCTGATTGGACATCTGATATTTGTGTGCCAAAATTTCAAAAACATTGGAAGTTCATAGTATATTTTGAATCACTAGAAGATGGAGAGAAAAAAATATTGAGGAATTGATTGATACAAATACTACATATCATATGAATATTGCAGTTTAAAAACTTTCAATTGAGGAAGAAAAAGCATATCATATGCCACGTTCATTCGAGTGATTAAATAAATTATTGTTGAATAGTCTTCCTACCAAATGAGAGCTTTGCTTGAGAGGTGTATCTAATCTTATGTTGAATAATTTGTGTTCTTTGTGTGCTTATTTTGGAGATTCTTGTGGGGATCTCATTTTTTCTTGCATTTTTCTAGTTCGGTGTGGCAGATGGTGTATCGTTGGTTAGGGATGATGTCGGTTGAGACTTTTGAGGTCGTTGGTTCGGAGGAAGCTTTTTTGCCGGTTGATTTTTTATTTAAGCTTAAGAATATTTTTTGTTGTTTCATGCATCTATCTTTTGTTTCTTTTCTTTGGTTACTAGTTTGTCGGGGTTTGTGGTTATTTAGAAACCAAGTGGTGTTCTTGGCTAAGGTTTGGAAGTGTGATGATGTTTTGTCTTTCATTAAAGACCTTGATTGAGATTGTACTACAAGAAAAAACAAAATCAGCCAGAGGATAATCCCCTCACAAATGGCAAAAACCCCTCACAAATGCAAAAATTGCGAGGGGACTGGTCCCCTAGCAAAACAGAGGGTCGCATATTTATTTGCGAGGGGCTTTCCACGTCGCAATTTTGCTTGGGACTAACCCCCTCACAAAATGCAATCAAAATTTTCAGACATTTTGCTTGGGGCTAACTCCCTCGCAAAATACAAGTATTTTCCATTAGTTAAGGGTTAAGCCCCTGGCAAAATGTAAAAAAAATTATTAAAAAAAATAAAAATATTAATAGAATAAAAATATATTAACATTAACAGAAAAAAAAATATTATAACTATAATTAATATAATTAAAACTATTTCATTATATAATTTATCTAAAATATCAATAATGTTTTCATGATAATATATTTATTGCCTTACTATTTTTTAAAGTATTATAACTAAAAAAATCATTTTACATACTACTGTTTTTTATAAATATTTTTAACTAGTTTCTAGCATACTTATCATTATAAATAAATAATTTTTAATCAACAAATATTTATGCAAACATCACTCATAATCATTATAATAACAAATAATAACAAACATCACCTATTTAACAACACTCATTTACAACTATAATAACAAACAACACCCATTTACAACTATATAAGAAGATTTAAGAAAAATTAAACAAAAAATATATACCTTTGATGAACACCCAATTTGGATTTAAATTCTTTAATTGTCTTCAATGATAAAAATATATCTAAAAACATAAAACGAAAACTAAATATTTGAAAGAAAAAAACATAAATTAAATATTATATAAAATATAATTTAAAAGAATAATACCTTTAATAATTAATAAAAATGAGAGATGGATGTAGAAGAAGGTGGAAATATGAGAGAAAGAAAGAGAGAAAAGAAAGAGAAGAAGAGACACGAATGAATATGGGAAAGTAAGGATTTTTTAAAGTAGGACAATTAGTGAGGGGTAGCCTCCGGCAAAATGTTAGTTATATTTTGTGAGGGGTAGTCTCTCGCAAAATGTAGAGCGGTAAAATTTTCAAAATTCAAAAATCTCTCCTATTTTATTTGTGAGGGGTAGCCCATCATCATTTAAAAAAAAAATTCTTTTCGATTTTGTCATTTGCAAAGGAGTTTACCCCTAGCAATGTCAAAATTTAGTTAGGAATTTATTACCTCACTAAATCCCCTAGCTAATCAAGCCTTTTCTTGTAGTGTTGGTTGTTAATTCTTGATAAAGGGAGAGTAGGTTTTGTTAAGGAGGTTTTGTTATCTACTCCTTGTTGTATGTTGGTTTGTAGTGGATGTTGTTGGAGTTGTCTTGGGGTGTCCTTGTAGCCTCTTGCGTTTTTGTATTTTTTGCACTTCTTATATCTATTAACACATGTTGCTTATCCAAAAAAATGATTGGACATACATTAGAGAGATCATCCATTTGTCTGAAAAATAAAATAAAATAAACATAATAGTCAAGATAAAAATATTGGCCACCTCTACAACACTCGTTTTAAAGGTGTAGATTGTAATGGATCATCTATCTCTATTATGATCAAGATTGTCTTCCAGAGAATTCGAATTCTACTTGAAGAGGATGCTCGGGATTGTCTTGCAAAGTATTTAAATTATAAAAAACAAAATATAATACAGACCAAAGGTGCTAGTCAACTCTACAACACTTATTCTAAGAGTGTAAATTATAATGGACCATCTATTCTGATGATGCTCAAAATTGTTTGCAGAGCACTCGAATTCTACTTGAAACGGAATGCTCAAGATTTTCTTGCAGAATATTCAAATTCTACTTGAGAGAGAATTTACTTCCTCTACTTCTATCAGATGACTTTGTTTTATTTTCATATTAAATTTTCTTCAAATATTTCAAAATTAACACATTTACAAGCAAAGCTGAAGATTACTTCACCTCACTCAAAATAACATCTTCAAACAGATACAGGTACATTAACAGTCCTTTTAAAAAACATGAACTTTAAAAACTAAATCTTTCTTGTTTATCAGTTCAAAGATGCAAACATCTCCCGGCTGCAAACCACTTTCCCTTGCAAACAAGGACCAACCAGCCGAAAGCCGACAGCTCCTTATATTATTGTAACAAGGAAGCAACTTCAGATTCCAGGATCTTTCACCAATCTGAATCATCACATTCGTCTTCTTGTTCTCAATAACCCCTTGTAAATTTGGTACAGACTGCATTGTATATGTAATTTATAATCACAACTATACAACATAACTAACATGCATATATTTGCATGAATAATGTAAATCACTTGTGTTTAACCTTACCGGCCGATCTGCTGTCAGATAAGCAGGCTTGATCGAGATTGTTTGAGATAAATTCTTCAGCTACTTCCCGAGCTCTAGATTCCTTTGGCATATTCAATGATGAAGTTCTTTCACTATTCTTCTCAATCTCACCTGCATATATATGTTGAACATAAAAAAACAAACACTCTTAGATAATATACCACATAAAGTACATGGCAAAGTAAGAATAAAAAACAGAAAATGAAATCCAAATACCTCTAACTTTTTTATGTGCTCTAGTAGAAACTAATGGCGACTTCTGTCTAACCTTCTTCCTATTAAGCCATTCATTCAAAATCTCATCTGATTCATCATCACTATCATCAACATTCAAAATATCAACAGTGTCGCACTTAGAATCATAGTCAATTTCAAGTGCATTCTGGCCAAGTATTACTACATCTAACTCTGATGTTCCCTCTTTATATTTAAACACCACTAAACAACCATGTTGTAGAGAGTAATTTTGAGTAAAAATACTCCAACCCTTTTCAAACCAAATCTCACCATTGATGTTTTTCCAAAACATTTTCCATTTAGTGCCATCAGGAGGCTTAATGAACATAGGGTTTGGTAGACCAACACCATGACTCCTTGTAAACTTATTTGGTATTTTCTGTAAAAGAAATAAAAATAATATAAGCACTAGAAATTTTCAAGAAAAAATGTTTAAACAAATATAAGGTAGAAATATAAAGTTAGTAGTTGAGAGTAGTAGTAAATGAAAAGGAATGGTTACAATAGTTTGAAGATTGGTTTGAAGAATAATCTTGAAGAAACAGATGGGGAGGGTTGAATTTCCTCCAGCCATTGATGATGAAGTTTGATGAGATAATGATGTCATAAAATATTATATTTTTATTAAATTAATCATATTAAGATATTGAAAATGGTGTATAATATAATAATGCTGAATCTAGCAAGCATGCCCTATATCCTACAATCACTATTACTACAGTAATTCCTCTGTTTCAAAACCACAATGTTTAACATTTTTAGATATAAATTAAGGAATACAATAATGATGTCATAAAATATTATATTTTTATTAAATTAATCATATTAAGATATTGAAAATGGTGTATAATATAATAATTAAAAAATATAATTGAAAAAATAATAATAATAATTATATTAAAAAATAAAAATAACAATCAATTTAAAACAAATTTTATTTATTAAAACAACAAATCATTTTGAAATGAAAGAATTATTATGTCTCGGTCCGAAAGCAACCAACAGACTTCATTTACGTATACCTAATCTCATTATTACATCTCCTGCTCGTCTTTTCATAGTTCATCTTTCTGCTTCTTTTTCTAAATACAGACAATATAGTAACTGTGAAATGATCTTTAATAGGACTCCTTTTGTTTTAAACTTTTGTATATAAATTAAAGAATGTAATTATATTATTATGAGATATTATATTTTTATTAAATTAATTTTATTAATATATTAAAAATAGTATACAAAATAATAATTATATGATATAATTGAAAAAATAACTATGATTATTATATTAAAAAATAAAAATAATATTTATTATTTTGAAACAAATTGTTTTCTTTAAAACGGAAGGAGTGTATTATTAGTTCAAGTCTACAAATTGTACTAGTATGTGTATGTTCCGGATATCTTTATCACTTCATTTGCTTATTAGAAGAAAAATTATAAAGATTGATTAACAAATTATTGAGGACGGACTTATAGAGGATGATTTATCAATTACTATAATAGTAGTTGACAAAGATTGCATATAACTTTTTTGATTGAATTTGTAATGATTAATAAAATTAGCGATGAAATAATTTATAAATATGAAATAATTTATAAATATGAAATGAAAAAAACTTTAACAAATTATTCTAATTAAAATTAAGAAGGTAAATTTGAAAGGAAAAATTGCAAATTATAAAATAACTTGAATTAGCTTATTAAAATAAGATATAAAGTCAATAAAAATGATAGATATCAAATAGAGCCATAAAAATTCTCTTATCAAATAGAGCCATAAAAAATATTTTAAAAATGTTTATATATAAAAATATTTATGTCTATTCACATTCTTGTAAAATTGATATATAAATTTGTTAGAACACGAAATTTAATTGGTGAATCAATGAAAGTTTTGATGTTTGTAGAGAAGATGAAGTCAGAAAATAAGAGAATTAGAGTGAGAGAGAGTAATTGATAGTGAGAAGAGAAATTATCATTAATTTTGCATATTATACCACAAAAGATTTTTATACAAGCAAGTTATATTAACTGGGAGCTAAAAACATCAAATAAACAAGTTGAAACCACAAAAACTCGGGCTTGTAACCGATTACATCATTTCATGTAACGATTACCATTGTAACTAACAGAAGCAAATTATCCAAATTTGTCTACATGTAACCGGTTACCAAATTGAAAAACTGCTTTTTTGCTTTTCAGAAGTGCTTATTTCAGAAGTTGTAACCTGTCATCAACCTCCAGTGACTTGCTACACCTACTTGAATTATTATTTTAAACTAACACATCATCTTAATTCAAACGCTCCAAGTTTTACATTCTCATGCTCATCTTTAATCTCTTGAACACATCATTTGTGACTCCTTTTGTCAACAAATCAGCAACTTGGTCTTCACTCCTACAATATCTCAATTTTAACTTGCATTCACTCACAAGATCCCCCAAGTAGTAAAACCTCATATCAATATGCTTGCTCCTCCCATGTGCAATTGGGTTCTTAAAAAGATTAATGGCTGAAACATTATCAACCAAGAGTGTGACAACATCACTCTCATTGTTGCCCAGCTCCTGCAGTAAAGTCATTAGCCATACAGATTGACACACACATAACAACGCGGTAATATACTCGGCCTCACAAGACGAGAGTGCAACTACCGGTTCCTTCTTAGAAAACCATGAGATTGGTGCTTCTCCGAACATAAAGATGTACCCGACTGTAGACTTACAATCATCTTTATCTTCGTGCCAATTGGAATCCGTAAAACCGAGAAAATTTCATTTGTTGCCCGTATCTGCTGCGGGAAAGAGAATTCCGCAGTCAATAGATCCTTTGACCTATCTTAGAATTCTTTTGACTATTTCCAAGTGAGACACCTTCAGTATCTCCATGAATCTACGCGTATTGCATAAGTAATGTAACGATCCAATCAATATCTTATATTGAGTATGATCTACATTATGATCATCCTCACTTTTGGACAGTTGCAACCTTCCTTCAGATGGTGTTATGGTAGAATTACAATGCTCCATATCACATATTTTCAAGATTTCAAGAGCATATCCCCTTTGATGCATGAGTTGTCCCATTTTTTACTTATGAAGCTCCATGTCAAGGAAGTATGTCATAATCCAAAGGTCACTCATTTCAAATTCTTTCATAAGTTCTCATTTGAAATTAGAAATACTCAACTCATTGCTGCCTTTGATCAACAAATCATCCCCATATAGACAAAGTATGATCACACCTTCACTTACGTCCAACTTCACATAAACTGCATGCTCGGACACACATTTCTTGAAGGCAACATCAACTAGAAAACCATTTATCAGTTTGTTTATAAACTCTCGGAGCTTGCTTCAAACCATATAACATTTTTATTAACTTGTAGAACCTATTCTCTTGATTTTTCACAATAAAACCAGAGGGTTATTCTACATATACCTCTTCTTCAAGCAGACCATTCAAAAACGTGAATTTCACATCTATTTGATAGATCAACCAATTATTGTTATTCGTAATACCAACAACCAATCGTATGGTTTCAAGTCTAGCAATTGGTGCAAACACATCATCAAAGTCTTACCTTCTCTTTGCAAAAAACCCTTCGCAACTAATCGAGCCTTATGCTTGATTATCTCACCTTTGGGATTTGCCTTTACTTTGTAGACCCATCTCACACCAATTGGCTTCTTACCTTTTAGAGGATCAAACATCTCCCAGGTACATTTTTTCTCAGTCGATTTTAGCTCCTCTTTCATTGCACACACTCACTTTGGATCACTTAATACCTCTTCTGTATTAAAGGCCTCAAATTCAGCCATAAGCACAAAGTGAACGAAATCACCATCATCATTGATCACATTATCCCAGAATATCTCTCAATCTTGGAGTCTTTGAGGAAAACCTCTCTTCCTAGTTGGTCGTCTAACATTTTCCTCTGTTCGAGCTATGACGCGCAATTGTTCCGAACTGTTAGAATTCAAAAATTCATTCTGGTGACTAGTTACATGTTGTTGACAACATTTTTCAGGCAGCTTGACGCGCTTCAGATCATCGACAATGACATCCTGGTTGATCACGATCCTCTTATTTTCAACATCAAACAACTTATAACCACCAGTAAGATGATACCTAACAATTAACATCATCTCACCCTTGTCATCCAACTTCTTTCTAAGCTGACCTAAAATATGTCGATATGCTACTGAATCGAAAACTCTCAAATGTTTTAGATTCAGTTTGAATCTAAACCACATCTCTTCTGGAGTTAGCTTCTTAGGCTTTTTCGTAGGGCACCTATTCAACAAATAAGAAGTTGTGAAACTGGCTTCTCCCCATAGCTCTTTCGGAAATTTTTCCCCTTTACCATGTGTGGTGCGGTGGGAGAACTGACTAGTGTTTTGCGTTCGTATTCACACTTGTGCGGTTGAGCAAGAGTCGCCACCGACTTTTTATTTTATCCTAAAGGAAAGGTTAAAAAAGCACAGCAAAAACCTTTTGAGATATTTCGTGGGTTCGGGGGGTAGATTATGAAAAGGGAAGGTATTAGCACCCTTTTCATCCATGGTTATCCATGGGCTCTTAGTTACTTGGTTTTTAGATCACTTGCCTTGATTTTTGATTGCTTGAAAATGGTGTATGTGTGAGTGCTTTTGAAAATGTTTTGGAAGAAGATGCCTTGTCTTAGGCTAACCTTGTAACAATTCTTTACTCGGATATTTTACAAAGGCGTGTATCTTTTCGAAAAGATGTTTCAAAATGTTTTGAGAGTTTGTTTTGAAAGTGTTGTGGATTGTGGTTTTTGAAAAGAAGGCAAGTGTTTTTGCAAGTCGATCTCAAGTAACTAAGAGTTTTGTCTACCCTATTGTACTCAAAGGTTTTTGTTATGTTTCAACCCCTTTTAACAATTTTGTTCCACCATTGAATTTGGTGGACAATCTTGCATTTAGGAAGTTTATTCGGGACGGGCGCGGGTCATCGTATGGACCATGAATGCAATGGTGCCAAGTGTCTTTGGCAATTTGCTTTGAAGGGACTATGATCATTCCGTTTTAGGCAACATTTTGAGGGACTTATGATCATTTTGATTTCGTTTTGCCAAAGATACTCGACGTGCAAGCATGGCCCATTTTGGAAGGCAACATGTGGGATTACCCTAGAGGGTGCAAGTGTGATTGTGTATTGATTACATGTATTTGTCTTGTATTAGGTTATCTAGCATTTGATTTTTATGTACATGCAAACCCTAGGCCTAATCATGGTATAATTGAAAGCGGTAAATTGCGGGAATTTAAAATCTACGCTATTACAAATAAGTATCCGGGAGTGGGGGTACAATATTCACAAATGGGGATGAGACGTAGGATCATAGTGTCCAATAAATTAACCAAATCGAACCAATCAAGTGTGAATGAGTATCAACATAAGCAAATGTATAATGTATCAAAATGCAAGTATATTGTGTAGGTGTACGTGCGTATGTGTATTTATATACGTAATTATTTACATGTGCGACGATGCGGAATTAATGTGTATTAAGGTATTGTTTTAACCTAAAGAAAATGTTTATTTAA